GCCTATGAGCAGACGCCTCATACCGTTCAGATGTACGCACGTGTCCCACATCTAACGGCTCTCCTCGCCTATAAATATCCAAGGCTTGGCAAGAGGCAAATGTAATGAAACTCTTTCTACTTAGCACTCCATAGCAAGTAAACATATATTCTCCTTTCCACTATTTTCCACAACCTTGGTACTGTTCTGATCACCTGAGCCTAACTTGACCGTCGTAGTGTATACGGCCGCCGCCACCCTCCCTGGTTTCGGCCATGTGCATCTGACCGTGCGTTAATTGTGTGTAGGGAGGAATACGTAGAGTGGCTATCAGTTGGCCACGCGGAGGGTCCAATTTTCGAGGTCAACAAATTGGCGCCATCTATGGAAAATTCCCGTTCAAAGTTCTGCATTCTCCATCAGAGAAAACGTCGAAAAACTAGTGACTTACCTTGAAAAGGGCACATTCTTGAAAAAAAAAACAAAGTCGAGTTATATCCCAAATTCTCATCACCATTGAAAAAGGAGATAGAATGAGTTCTAGCCATGAAGAAGAAAACCCCATGAGAGAGGCCTCTAAAGAAGAGGTGCTCCATAACAATGTCACTCACCAGAGACCCCATCATTGGCGTCGTCGAGGTGAAAGAACAGCCATGCTCACTGAAGGGATGGCTCAAATAACGACGGGCATGAGAGACATCGCAACTCAGAATATGGCAATGCATGAACTTCTCATGTAAGCCCAAGGTCAGCAGGGCTATCAAATGCCCCAAGGATTGTACCCAGTGCAGGAAGCCCCTGTATCTCGTTCCCAAGGCCATATGAGCCGGCACAGAGAACGTCCCCTCGAAAGAGAAGTGGGTGCGAAAGCCACATCCTATGTGCAAGGAAGCCAGCCAGCAGAACCACAGCTAGGGGACAATTTTCCTCAAGAATATGAGGAACAAAGGCCAGGAAGCGTCTTTGACCGAATAGGGCAGGACCCTATTGATAAGGCCCGCTCAGTGCGAAGATCAGTTCGGCAAGAGTAAGAACAAGAGCGGGCTCATCCTCCTAGAAATAGAAGGAACCTAGTCAATTGGGGAAGCCGAGGAGAAGCACCTCCACCTCCCCAAGATATTCAAGATGATGAAGGGTCAGATGGGTTCTGTCGATCTTATGGGATCGATGACGATGAGATAACCTCTCTTTTTCAAGGGAGATCCGAAGCTTCCCAATGCCGACGAACTTCATGCCCCTTAGATCCCTAAGTATGAAGGAAAGGGGGACTCGGAGAAGTACCTTACGAAGTACATGACACAGATGAGCCTCAGGGAAGCCTCACCTGCTTTGAAATGCAGAGCCTTCCACTTAACCCTGGGCAGAGCTGCTGAAGTATGGTATAGCAGGCTTCCTCCCCTGAGCATTAGGAGTTGGCCAGATTTGAAGAAGGCATTCTTAAACCAATACCTCTCACGCAGGGAATGAGAGGCCCCAGTGCAACGCCTGCAAGATATGAGGCAGGCCCCTGGAGAGATGCTAAAAAGCTATCTCCCCAGGTTTACAAACGAAATCACATACTGTGAACATGTTACTAACAGGGAAGCCCTTTCAAATCTGAAAGGCGGCCTCAACATGAACACTTTATTCTGGAGGGACGTGCGTAGCAAGAATCCTGCCACCTATGACAAACTGGTGGAAATGATGAGAGTGGAAATCATCAGTGAGGAAATGATTGATCATCGAAACCGTACCGTGCAGGGACTTCCTCCGCCTCAGAGGCAGGTAGGTCGAGGACCCGCAGCGCACCTCGTCACTCAGCAGTGGACTCAAGCAGGTCATACAATAGTTTCCACCTTCAGACAGGCACTGGCTTCCGCCACATTGAATGTAGTGCTGATATTGGCATACGAGAATGCTCCTGGCGAAGTAGGACCATCCGGAAGAGCTGATAAGAAGAAAAAGAAGAAGCGATCAAACAGGCACTTGGAAGGGGCAAGGTTCTACACTTTCCACCAACTCTACGGGAATGACACTAGTGAATGCTGAGACGCCAATCGACGCCCAGATCGAAGCAACCACATCCTTCTAGCAGGAGCGAATATCTTCACAGATCCACCTCCCCGAACAGGGGAGAAAGAGGACATAGAGAGCAATCACCCCGGAGAAGAGAATCAAGGGACCGAGGATAGTCTAGACAGAGAGATCAGACCCCATTCTGTGGAAGCCAAGTCATCAGGGAGATCGACACAATCATTGGGAGGCCTCACATCGGTGGCAATACCAGGAACGTCGAAAGGAATTACACAAGGGAAGCGAAAGACCCGCTAATGATTACCTACATTGCCAATGAGTCACAAGCGGCTAATAAGATGGCCCCAATCACTTTCTCCCAGGAAGATGCAGAAGGAGTTTACCACCCCCATTGTGACGCATTGGTTGTAAGAGCTGTAGTGGCTAGAAAGAGACTCAAACGCATGCTCATCGACAATGGAAGTTTGATGAACATACTGTTCGGCTCCACCTTCGACAAAATGCAAATTGAACATGGGTTGATCCCCATGATCGACCCATTATTCGAATTTATTGGAGACAGTATCGTCCCACGAGGGCGGATCACTCTGCCCGTCGAGATGGGTTCAGCACACCTAGTAGCCCAACACTTCATGAAATTCTTAGTGGTAGACCACAGATCGGCTTAGCATGGAGAATGGGCAGACCCACTTTGAAAGATCTTTGGGCCGTCACTTCCATCCATTACTTGTGTATGAAATTCCCAACTGAACATGGAATTGCTACGGTCCAAGGCGACCAGATGGGCTCCAGGGCATGTTACTTGAACTCTCTGAGAAAGTCGGAGTCCCGAACTGTTAACGTGATCATAACTGAAGTTGCCAATGAAGTCAGTATGGACGTGGAAATGCTCATGCTCCTGAACAAGGGCATACCTCCGAACAGGAGGAAGATGTCAACATGGAAGAGGCCCCTGAACAAGGACACCCTCTTGATAAGTTAGATCCCCGGATAATTGACTTTGAATCAAATACAACCCCAATGGAAGAACTAGAGACTTTCTCCGCCAACCCAGAGGACCTTAGTCAGGTCTTGCGAACAGGGAAGGCACTGCCCTCTGAAGCAAAAGATGAGATGATAAGCTTCCTGAAAAGGAACTTGGATGTCTTCGCTTGGAAGCATGAAGACATGGTGGGGATAGATCCAAGGATCAGTTGTCACCATCTTAACATCAACACCTCCTGTGTCCCTCATCGACAAAAAAGACGTGCCCTCAACCCGGAAAGGTACGAGGCTCTCAAAGACGAAGTAGGCAAGCTTAATCGCAGTGGTTTCATAAAGGAAGCCATCTACCCAAAGTGGATATCCAACCTGGTCCTGGTAAAAAAGCCCAGCGGGAAGTGGAGGGTGTGCGTAGACGTCACCAACTTGAATAAGGCGTGCCCTAAAGACAGCTTCCCACTTTCAAGAATAAACTAACTTGTGGATTTCACTGCTGGACATGAACTATTGAGCTTCATGGATGCATATTCGCGGTACAATCAGATACCCATGTTTTGACCCGATGAGGAAGCTACATCATTCATCACAGATAGAGAACTCTACTGTTACAAAGTCATGCCCTTTGGATTGAAAAATGCCGGAGCCACATATCAGAGACTGGTTAACATGATGTTTGTCAAACTCATTAGCAGAACCATGGAGGTCTATATGGATGACATGCTAGTCAAAAGCCTCTAGGCAAGCGAACACGTAAGTCACCTCGACCAAACATTTCAGATACTTAGAAAATATAAGATGAAGTTGAATCCCCTCAAGTACACCTTTGGGGTGGCTTCAGGTCAGTTTTTGGGGTATATTGTTAACTAAAGAGGAATTGAAGCCAATCCAGTAAAGATAACGGCCTTGCTGGAATTGAGATCACCTCAGAAACCGAAGGACGTCCAAAGCCTCAATGGTTGAATAGCCGCATTCAGTCGCTTCATCCCCAGGGCCACTGATAAGAGCTTACCCTTCTTCAAGGTGCTTAAGCATGGAAAGAAGTTCCAATGGACTTCTAAGTGTGAAGAAGCCTTCCAGATGCTGAAAAGCACCTCGGAGAAGCGTCCCTTTTGTCAAAACCTCAACCAGAGGAGTCTCTACTGCTATATTTGGCAGTATCGGATGTAGCGATTAGTGTTGTTCTAGTCAGAGAAGAAAATGAATGACATTTGCAAGTATATTACATCAGCAAAGCTCTCCTCCCAGCTGAAACACGGTACCCGGACATGGAAAAATTGGCGCTTGCCCTCATCACATCCTCAAGGAAACTGAGGCCATATTTTCAGGCCCGCTCGATTGACGTTCTCACCAACTTCCCATTGAAACAGGTGCTGCAGAGAACAGATGCATTAGGACACCTGCTAAAATGGGCAATCGAGCTCAGCGAGTTCGACATACTGTTCCGACCTCGACATGCCATCAAGGGCCAGGCCCTTGCAGATTTTGTGGTTGAGTTTGCCAAAGTCCCGAAAATCGAGGCAATAATGGAACCAGCCGAGCCCCTAACATGGAAACTGTTCGTAGATTGATCCTCAGAAGAGGCGGGCTCCAGGGCAAGAATTGTCTTTGAAAGCCCGGAGGGTCACAAGCTAAATTACGCAGTAAGGTTCGGCTTCAAAGTCTCAAACAACGCTGCCGAATATGAAGCCCTTCTAGTAGGTCTTAGACTGGCAAGAGAAATGCAGGTCAGAAGGCTCGTAGCCAACATCGATTCTCAGCTAATAATGAATCAAGCCAGTGGGAGCTTCGCAACCAACGGCAGCAGCATGGTTGCATACTTGAATTTGGTTCATGACCTAGTCTCTCAGTTCGAAAGGTTCGAACTACTTCAAGTCCCACGCCTAGAGAATACACATGCAGACACCCTTTCAAAATTGGCCAGCAGCAAGGATTCTGAGCTATTAAAGGACGTCCCTATTGAACACTTGTCGAAACCCTCCATTTCTAGAGGAAAAGAGGTACTTTGGATAGAAGGCACCCCATTATGAATGCAGCCCATCATCACCTATCTAAAGGATCAGACACTACTTGCTTCCAAAAGTGAGGCAAGAAAGTTGAGGAGAAGGGCTATGCACTTCGTCCTGAAAGACGATATGCTCTACAAAAGAGGCTTCGCCTCACCACTTCTCCGATGTGTGAGAGGCAAAGAGGCCACATATATACTTAGGGAAATTCATGAGGGAATCTGCGGAAATCACTCCGGAGGAGCGACCCTGGCACACAAGGTTCTCCCTCAAGGCTATTTCTGGCCGACCCTGAAAAGGGATGCTTGCTAGTTTGTCTAGAAATGTGACAAGTGCCAGCGCTTCTCGAATATTTAAAAGCAGCCTTCTCAGAACCTCTCCGTAGTAACCAGCCCCTGGCCATTCGCCAAGTGGGGCATCGACTTCATTGTTCCACTCCCTAAAAGAAGAAGAAGCGCGACCTTCGCCATTATCGTCATTGACTACTTCACCAAGTGGGTCGAACCTGAACCTCTTGCGAAGATCACCGAGGCAAATACTACAAAATTCTTCTAGAAGAATATCATTTGCAGGTTCGGTATTTCCCACTCCTTAGTGTCCGACAGTGGGAGACAGTTCGACAACAGGAAAATGCGAGAATTGTGCGACAAAATGGGAATAAAAAAGGACTTCTCAGCGCCTCATCACCCGCAAGCAAATGGACAAGTTGAGGCAGTAAACAAAACCATCAAACATACCCTGAAAAGGAAGCTTGACACCTCAAAGGAGGCTTAGGTCAATGAACTTTCCCACGTCCTCTGGGCCATCCGAGCCACAAGCTGAACTGCAACAGGGGAAACACCATTCTCAATGACCTACGGGGCTGAGGCCATGAGCTCGGTCGAGGTCGAGGTCCCATCGCATCGTCGAATACACTTCAACGAGGTTAGTAACGACGAGGCCCGAGTGAACGAACTCCACCTCCTTGAAGAAATGAGGGATACCTCACAGGTGAATTTGGCAAAGTATCATAGGAAGATGACCCGATATTATAACTCCAAGGTCAGAAATCGAACTCTTCGCCTGGGAGACCTTGTCCTCAGAAGGGTCTTTCAATCATCAAAGCCAACCGGGTCACGAGTGTGTGGACCAAACTGGGAGGGTCCTTACCGCATCTGTAGGGAATCCTGACCTGACACTTTCAAAATTGAAGACATGGTAGGGAAAGCACTACCTCATCAATAGAACATCAAGCACTTAAGGAAATATAATCAGTGATGAGTTTTTGTTCCAATCCGATCTCGATGTTGTCTAATAAGTGTGTCCCGATCCAATCTCATTTGTAATTTTCCTATCCTACTGAGCCCTGAAAATGCCTTAGTAATGGATAATATAACTTTTTCTTAAGTATTGATGCTTCAGTTCTTTTTCACATCGGTTATCAAATTGTTATCTCAGTCCCTCAGTATTATTACTTAAGTGATTCGATCTTTTGACTATTGTTAAGAGGCACTTGACGATTACTTAAGTGGTCCGATCTTCTGATTATTGTTAAGAGGCGCTTAGTCTTAAAAGATTGTCATTCATATTGGCATAAATAGATCAATACGATAACAAAGTAGAAGCAATAACACTTGGTAAAAAACTTTTTCATTTCATTCACTTCAAATTTACAAGAGGCCGAAGCCATTACAAAATGAGCCCTACTCTATGGGAAGCCCCTCCCCGCCAGCCTCTGACTTGCTAGCCTCAAAAGCTACTGGAGTCTCCTCTGCAAGCCTATCAGGTCGGCCTCCAGTAGGTCCCCCGAACTCTACCTCTAAAGAGGAGATGTCCAAAATAGGGTGGACCTCTCTCAGCCGACCCAATATGCCTTGGGCACTCCAGGAGGCCCAAAAATTTGCAAAGTCGTCATACAGGGAATGTTCCTCGAAGTGGTCAATGAAATTTTGAACAGCCACTTCCCCTACCGACTTCAGTTCCTCCTTCAAGGAGGCAATTTCCTCAGACTGGGCCTCTGTCCTCTGCCTCAGCTCAGCTTTCTCTTTATTGGAGGCCGCCAGAGCCTCTGTGGCAAGCCGATGGTGCTCGTTGGCGTGATCCACTCTTCGGGTCATGGCAGCCACCTGGCACTCCACTTCATAGAGCTCCTTCTTCAGCCGTTCTATGTTTCCTGTAGTAGCCGCCAGCTGGGTCTCAACCTTTGTCCTCCTTTTCTCTTCCTCCACAGCCTTGGCCCGGGCCTCCCTCACCTTATCCCCATATTGCATCGCCCCCTCGAGGCACTTGACGAGGTCCTCCCTCTTGGCGTTGAGGTCCTTCACCAAGCCCTCGAGCTCGATGCTGGTGCTCAGAGCCCGAGCCACACAGGCACTGTTGGCCGCCACCACCACAATTTTTCAGATTGTGATTAATATTGATTATTTAACTTTTATTTGGATTAAAATCAGATTTTAATTCGATCCAAACAAGCTCTTATAAATTATCGTGTATATATACACCTAGGGAATATAGAGTATAGCCCTAAAACATAAATTTTCCCCATTTTTGTCAATAACGGATGTAGGAATTATATATGCTATTTCACAACATCTAGCACATGGCTCCATTTTGAAACCCTAAGCTCAAATTTCTGGAAAAAAAAAACTAAAATCCTACAATCTGACCCCACATACCTAGGAACAAACCCATTTTGCAAACACTCCACACACAAAGCCGAAGAGCCAGATCTTCCACACATTTGGTCTTGTTACTTGAAGGGTGTTGATTTCAGCTTCCATTTTCCTCCTAGCTCGTAATAGACCAGAAATCAGTTCCTTCAATCTCTCACACATCGGAGGGTCACACCACATAAAGAAGGTGCATCCACCCACATCTTGGCTACGAGGACAAGTGAGAAATCTTCTTCCCGGGTTCAAGTTCATCCACGAGGTCTTCATTTGCACTGGGGAACCACATTTGCATACATTCCCCTCCATGTGCGTGCTGATTTTTTTGACTACCTGTGAGAGATAGGGTAGGTAATATATAGTGATAAAGAAATGGAGGGACATAAACATTGAAGTATATAATAGGAGGGAGATGTGTGTAATGCCCATGTTGCCCTTTACTTATTTGGGGAAAATTCTTGAAAATATCATTAAAGGGGTCAACTGACGGTTTTGGTGGTCAAACAGACGGAAACCATCATTTTGGACTAGCCCCACACATTTTTTAATTGATATCTCCGATGGCACAAACTAAAGGTTTACGTAAAGTCTGTTAATAAATGAAAAGTTTTGTACCTCGGCTGCAATTTTCCCTTAATATAATGTTTTATGATTTGGAAAAGTGGATAAAGTTAGTAATGACATGGGATTATTTAACCCTATCGGGTGGAAGACTACAGCAATTGGTCAGCCATGTCATTTCAGCTACAATGATGACCTAGAAATGCGTACCATCGCTCAAAGTTCTGGTTTCTTGATTGGTCTTTGAGGTTGGCTGTGTACGTCATCATTATGCCTCCACAACCAGCTATGGATTCAGGTTATGATTTTTAGCAGCTAGGTAATCATTTCTTGATTGTAATTGGTCAAACATGAGGTGTTGATGTCATAGTTTCCACATGTCGTGCTAAGAGTGATAGGTGTCGAGGTGGGGCAGTGTAGTAGTAAATATAAATCATGATGTCCTTGTAAATTATGGTGGCGACTTGTCCGATCTAATCTTATTTTATGGTGTCCAATCTTGAGATTTGCGCAAACTACTTATTTAGTGAAGTGGGAGGTCGAACTCCCACACTTACTCTTCAAGGTCTGTGCTCCGTTCACACGGAGGACTGACCTTAAATTTTCTTTCCGTTAGCCATTTCGAATTTTATGTTCATAGTAGGTGACAATAGGTGTTTTGATTTTTCCAATGGATTACAAGTGTCCACAAATGAAAAGAATGATTGTTCATTTTTCATAAAGTTTCCCAAAGAAGTTTCCTACTAGAGTTAATCTGCACCTCTAGTTTCTACTCCATTTTCTCATCTATCGATTCGGGTGGCACTCCCTAGGGTTCTTACCTTTATTTATAATCTTCATTTTTCTTCATTTTACCACTTTTCATTTTAAAAAAAATGAAAAAAAATTCTTCTCATTTTTTGCCCTTCTTGTATGGGGTTTTGTGAGGTCTTCATTTGCCAAAACTTTAAGTTACTTTGTCATCGTTTCTTTCTTCTCTTTTGTTTTTATTTTACCATTTTCTAGACATTAGTTTGAATAAATCTAGGGTCCACACTTGGGAAATCAGTAGGAAGAATCTATTCCTCCTACTTATATACTTCATATAGTTCGGATGTTCAAAAAATTCTTACCTAGATTCCTATCCCTAATGTTTACCCAGAGAATACAGCTCATTCTTTAAGAAGAAGCATATCCTAGCGAAGGAGGGAATATTTATAAATAAGGATGATATAGGATGTTAGGAAAGGAGTGAAGTCGGTCCTTCAATGAAGGGAAATGAGAGTGTTCCAAGATTAACTCATTAATTACCGAAGATAGAATTGAGATTTAAAGGGACAGATATGGTATACTAAGGTCATTAGAGATGATTATCCAAAGACCTTAGGACTGACCTGACGATCATCCTAAGGGCTTTGTGCCCCTAACTCAGCTATACTGTATCCTAGGTTGAAGTTTCCATTTCAAAAAAATAGACCATAGGTTCCTTTCATCTTGGAGACTAGTTCCTACCTAACTATGCCATAATTGGTAGAGGACCTTGTTATGCATATAAATATATCCATAATTACGTAGCATACACATGATGGAGGGGGTCCCACATTGGCCAACGAGGGATCGCCTATTTGGGAGTTCATAATTCAAATTCGACCCGCATATAAATATACGACTCAAACTTGGGGAACTATTATTATACATATAAATTATTGCATATTAGGCCTTACTATTGGACTTGGACGAGGCCCATTAATGCACTCGGCCCATCTTCATTTTCTATATATAGGTGGCTTTATTTCATTTCAAGGTAAGTTCTCTAAACCCAGCCAATTTCCCTCTCCCGACTCTTCATTCTTTATTTTCTTTTTGTCTGGTCATTGCTTCCTAATGGGTGTTCCGTGTGCAGGTTTGGAGGGGACGAGGCTGGGGATCTATTGGCGCAATTTTTGAGTTCAACAGACCTTGTTGGCTACCCTTCTTTTATGGCATAGGTTGGATTTTTCAGAACTAACCATGGAGCAATTTTTGAGTTCAATAGACCTTGTTGGCTACCCTTCTTTTAAGGCATAGGTTGGATTTTTTAGAACTAACCATGGAGCAGTTTAACTTTTTTACGTATTTAAGGAGGGTGGGTGAAATTCGAGGTGGTATTATACCAGCGCGAAACCTAAGACGGGGGCTCTTTGGTTTTAGAAATCGGTTTTTCAGCAAAGAGGTGTAAAGACAACTTCTTTTTTGGGTGTGGGGAGTGGCAATTTCGCTCTATCGAGGTAAATAAGGATGACGTCGTCCTCCCATCCATTAAAATAAGCTGTGTATTCCAACCCCTGCAACTTCGAGAACTTCTTGCATTCATCTTTCTTTCCTCTGTCCTTTAACAACCGGACATACAGGCTATGGTTGGGACTTTCGTGGAAATTTTCTTGAATTTTCTTCATTCAAGCTCCATCCCCATCTAGAGATATGACCTCAACTCTACCACCTACTATTAGGGATTCAACTAATCTTTTGACACGAAGCGAGAAAGAAAGAAAGTAGAATTTCTTGGATGACATGTTCTAGACAAGTCATGCGTTACGATTGAATTAT